TGCTCATAGGGGGTCATATGATTGTTGGGTTTTTTCTCTGTGTCTTACTCAAGCAGATACAGAGTAGGTGTCCTCCCACATAAGATCTGTGTGTATGCCAGAGTGCTCTGGGAGGCACACAGAGTCTTTGCAGACTGCTAAGGATCAAACATCTTTGTGGCGGAGGCGGGGCCCCGGGCGCGGCTGCAGGGGAGGAGTGGTGCAGTGGGCTCAACGGGGCGGTACGGGAGACGCTGGTAAGAACAGCTGATGGTGATTATGGACTGACGATGGTTTTCCCTCCCCTGTTTTATAGTGAGACGGAGAGCGGTGGCGAGAGGGAAAGAACGACACACGTCAGCTGGGAACGAGCTGTCAATCTATGTGAAAAGCATAAACCTGTGAAACATGTGAATAAATGTGGAACTTGGCAATAACAACCTGCGTGTGCGTGTACCTGTGCCTTGTATATTCCACAATCTTATCAATATGCAATCAGTTATATAACACAAGCCCTTTCACCCATATAGAAAATAATCTTTGCAAATATTGGCTTATAAAGAAAGGAAGGCTCAGAACTGCCAAAGAACTGACTCACAGTATTCACTGGATACAGCCAAGTGTGAAGTGAGTCACACTTGGCTGTATCGCCTCAGTAGTCGCCTCAAGGTGCTTTATATTGTTCAGTAATATTTTTAAATATTCATCAATAATTTAGGTCATTTGAAAAACTGCATGATTCAGCAGTCAGGAATGACTGCGTATCCTCAGTTTAGGTTATCATTTCAAACTGTTGTTGAACAGTAACAGTTGTGCTAAATGGCCAAAGTCTGGCTCTGACGGTCAGTCGCAAAGTGATCATTTCTTTTTAACTTGTGCTAGTAAACAAAAACAACTGACATTCAACTAGTGGAGGCAAATCTGCTGACATAAAGCAGAAGACTGATGTGTTCCCATCGTGGACCAGACCCATCTTCTAACTACACATGTGTAAAGTTTTTGACACATCTTGAGTGGTTGTGTTGACAAAACCTGTTCAAAGACAGTAAGGCCAAAGGAGAAAGGGTTTAACTCTGTCATTTTTTCTGCTACATGAGACGTCTAAAGGACAACGTTTTGCCGTGACAACACTGCTGCACACACTCAACAACAACAGCAACAGCACCCATGCTGCAGCAGCTGGTACACATTTAATTTGACTGCTTTGATGACAGGTCTCCAAAGCACACCTCCATCATTTCTCAGACCAGTGCTGTCGGTTATCATTCATTGTTTTATAAAGTGCTTTTAGAGTTTAAAAATGCACCTTTTTAATGGAAAGAGGGATAATGTAAGTGACTGTAGCATTCAGAGTAGTTCGTAGCCTCAGTGATGCTTCCATTTATACTGACTCAGAGTTAGTCAAGAGTTATGAATATTATCTAATATCGAGGAGCTCCAAAACAAAGTTCCTAATGTTTGAGAAAGTGATTTAAAAAGGAGTAAGACAAGTGTGAGTTTGGCATGTTTATCAGAGTGTGTCTAGTGTTTTAATACACTTGTTCTTAAAGTTTTAACTGGCATCACCCCGCTAAGAAGCCCAAAGCACGTCTCACTCCACGACCATTTTAATCTAAAAAAAAATCACAGCTGAGTTTTAATAAATACCACTCAACAGATGCTAATCAACTTGTTTTTTTTCTCATCATTCCCTTTGTTACCCACGTCCCACAGTTTGAGAATCATTGTGTTAAAAACATCTCAGGGAAATTTTCCCAGCAGAAGCTATTTAAACTACTAAGTACAGCATTCTTCATTAAATAGGTTTTCAAAACTAAGTGGCACTTTTTCTTTCTGCATCTTCCACCTATGCACGCCACTTCAGTGCGCGGTCCTGAGTTGGACCTTCATGTGATAAGGGCTGGGAGTCATAGTGGCTCCAAAGACTGGAGTGAAGTCTGGTTCTCCTGCATCCTCGGGCCAGATGAACTTAAACTTCCTCAGCAGAGTCACAATCATGAGGAAGAGCTCCATGCGAGCCAGACCCTCCCCGAGACACACCCGAGAACCTGAGGCATTGAAAAAGACCGCAAAATTATCAAAAACACATTGATTGAACTGGCCGTGTCTGTGCTGTTACTCAGCGTGTTTGTGCTCATGTACCTGCAGAGAAAGGCATGAAGGCCTCTGGTTTAACAAACTCTCCTTTGTCATCGAGGAAGTTTTCAGGGTTGAATTCATGAGGGAATTTCCACTGTCCCTCCTCGCTGAGCACTGAGGTCAGATTCTCGATGATCATTGTTCCCTGAGAACAAAACAAATGCGAAGACAAGTCCATTATGGACACTCTTGACTTTATTGTATCTAATGTTAAAAATGATTTAATCAGTCGTCCCTTACCTTGGGAATTGAATATCCCATCAGCTCTGTGTCTCTAGTGGTGCAGTGGAAGACACTGAGAGGGACAGTGTTGGCAACTCTCTGTATCTCGTGAATCACAGCCTGGATGAAGAGAAGACATTTTCTGTGCTTTATCTGACTGAGCAATTTTTAAGTACTTTGACATAAAAACACAACAGAAATTCGAGGCTGCAGACGTGGGGACCTCTCCCTATAAGCCACAGACAGGATGCAGTATTAATGAGATCATTTCAGCTGATGTAACCTTAAGAAATATTCAGACAGGGTCACGTGGACTATCACATGCCTTTGGCAGTGCCAGGAAATCTAATCCTATCTAATCTTCACAGTCATGTGATGAAACACTCCTGCCATCACATGGGTTGGGCGTAACCCAGAACATGTTCAGACATGCAGGCCCTTCATGCAGCCAGAGCTGCATGTTATTGTGTTTGTAAGCCAGGGGTTTGTTAGGGAAAGGGTGTTCCTAACATGCTTCCTACCTATCCTGGTACTTCCTAACTACAGTCTGTAACCAGGACATTATGCAAAACAAGCTTTTAAATTACAATATAATTCTTTCAAAGTAGGCAAACACGACCCTGATGGTTGAGTGCATATGTTTCTTATAAAATCAGTGGGTTCCTGTGGCTCAGCAGGTAGAGCAGTATGTGTGAATGTTGATAAGGAAGCACGTAAAACGACAGAAAAAAGTGTGAATGGGTGAATGTGGCATGTGGTGCTCCACGAGAGCAGAAAAGCGCTATATAAGAACCAGCCCATTTACCATGTTAGGCTTCCTAAATATTCTGGAGCATGAACCTGACACTCAATGTTTGTGACAGCGCACGACGACAGAGAGGCTACTCTCCCTGTTAGCTGACACTGCTGTGGACCATCAGTCTAATGTTCTGCTTTAAATAAACAGTTACCTGATGTGGAAACATAAAACTTCTTTGTCAACGTCATCACACAGCAGCCTTACTAGATTTTATGCATTAAGATAAAACACGTTTGTGTTTCATGACTAATGAAAACATTCAAACATCATAGTTCACAGTGTGGAAAAAGGTCATGATGATTCTGCAGTATGATTTCGACATGAAACGCTCTTTTTATTATGAGCAGACCAGTTCCAGTCAAACCAGTCCTTTCTACAACAATGGAGGCTCCACGGTTTCCTGAAAAGAAGCTGTTTAAATGCATCACCTAATGTTATTAATGATGACCAAAACTGGTCTGAGTTTTTGTGTCTGTTGCCAATATAAACCAACATAAACTGTTTTGAGAAATGAGGAGATTCAGGCTGATATTTATTCTGTTTTCCACCTACTGCTTGTCCTGGAGCTATCGTCTTATTGTGGACCCTGTGCATGTGTGTGTTCTCTCTTTATGATTACCTGTAGGACTTGCTATGCTGTGGAACAGTGCCTGCTAAATAAAAGGCAATTATAGAAATCTCTCTGATATACAGTACCTGTGTGTAAGGCATCTCGTGTCTGTCCTCAAAACTGGCCCGATACTTCCCTCCCAACACGTCGTCTATCTCCTGCTGACATCTTTCTGTGCAGGAGGGATACCACCACACATTAAATTCCACATTTCAGATATCTGTAGGTGAGACAAAGGAAGACTACACACAAGTAATGTAACACTAAAGCATTAGGCCCGTAGAGATGGAACCTTCTGTATTCATTCAATTTGTCTTCAACCTTTAACATCAGATGATATTAGTCATATCAAACACCACATCCACACCTAATCTAATACAAATAATTTGTACCGGTAAGGAATTGAGTTGAGTGGGACTCTCCTTTGTTAAGTTAATATAACGAGCATATAGAATGTAGCATGCTGGGACGGGCATGGCCCCTTTTGCTGCTATCGGGTGTGGCTCAGACTAGATTGTATTATGTGAAGGCTGAAGTACAAGTGAACACCTGGAAAACCTCAAGCAGGACCACAGACACCAATGACAAATAACCATAATATGTCTTATTTACATGTGCAGGTTTACCTTGGATGTGGGGGTAGTTCATCAGGTAAAGGAAAGCGGTAAGGAGGGTGTTGGAGGTGGTGTCAGTCCCAGCAAGGTGAAGATCTAAAGCATTCATAATGAGCCACTCCTCTGAGAATGAAGACCCATCATCGCCTCTCTAAAAAGAGGGGAATAATGAATATGATAGAAATGCCTTCAGCTCTTTACATTTGAAACAGAATTTTTAACCACCTTGTGAACTAAAACTATACAAATATCCATCCATCCATCCATTCACTTCCGCTTATCCTTTTCAGGGTCGCGGGGGGCGCTGGAGCCTATCCCAGCTGTCATAGGGCGAAAGGCGGGGTACACCCTGGACAGGTCGCCAGTCTGTCGCAGGGCCAACACACAAAGACAGACAACCATTCACACGCACATTCACACCTAGTGACAATTTAGATTAATCAATTAACCTATCCCCACAAGCATATACAAATATCTCCTTTTGGAAAAGTGCAGGTTGAATAAAGTCAAATAATTTTTATATTTTGTATACTCAAATTAGAGCAGATCTGTTTCTTTTCACACTCACACCTTCTCCAGTTCATCCAGATAGCAGTCAATAAAATCTCGTGGCTCTCCAGGAACTCTGGTCTTCTTGTGCTCATTGATCAAACCAATTGCAATTTTCTTTGAAGTCTAAAAAGCAAACGTAGTCACTCAAAGTTTGAACAAATTTTACTTCTTCCTGCTGGTAAAGTGAAAATTGAAATTACCTCTAAATTCTCAAAGGCCTTTTGGAAGGGCAGTGGCAGGTTACGAATTATGGGAAAAGTGTCATAGAGCTGAAAGGAAAGATAAGAGAGTTAAATGAGAGTGGGGGGGGGGAACACAGAACTTCTGCATCTTAGTTTTGATATCAGTGGAAATGTCGCCGTAAAACTTCAGCCACGACAGGATTTCTAAGTAAGCACGATTACATGGGAAACATGCTTTTACTCACCATAGCCCACGGTCCATTGGCCATCTTGGTATTCTCAGTGAAGCACTGAACAATCTGTTTGATTAGCGCATCATCATACTCGTAGCGTGTAGAAAACAGGACCTGGCAGATGATGTTGGAGGCCGCATTGTGAAACATAACTTGAGGACTCATGGTTTTACCTGTAGAAGAGATTATTCAGCAGAACAGAATTTTACAGGAATGCAAAGGAAACAACAGCAAATGCAACGTGGTTGTGGTCACAGACGGACCTACCAACACTGTCTTCCAAGGTTCTAACGATGTATTTTATCTCTTCATGAATCCTGTCCTCCATCGAGTTCTTCCCCAGACCAAAGTTCCTCAAAGTCATCAAAGAAAAGCGACGATGTTCCCTCCAACTAGAGCCGTAATCGACCAAAATTACTCCTAAAACAGATTCATCAGCACAAAGGGAAACAAGATCATGTACTTTCTGGACTGTGTCATCTTTTATTACATTCCACACTCATTAAAAGAACTCTATTGTTTACATGGATCGTTCATATGGTCCAGCATGTGTGCTGCACCGTTGTGATGAAGAGGAGTATTCTACAAAGAGATAACAGCAAAAGGTGAATTTTCCTAACCCATGTTGTCCCTGCGTGCTTATCTCAAACTGGGTGTTTTTCCTCATGCATGCAGTAAATAATAATACACTAAAACTTGAAACCATAGAATCCAGTATATGCTAACGTATATACTGGATTTTTTAGTTTGTTTTGTTTTATTTATTTAATTTTTCGTTTTGCTGTTTTGGGTACTGATGGTAAAATGTGTGTGAACACAGTGTATCATGTGATAGATAATATCTGTTCTACCTTTACTCTTGGTGACATCATTAACAAACAAGTCTTGGGGTCGTCCAGCAAAATCAGCAGCCTTAGTCACCATCGCCTCCTTTACGGCCTTCAGCCCATTGATGACTACAGCTGGTTTCTGGCCAATGTAAATACTGTAGACATCTCCGTAAGACTTCCTCAGCTGGGAGGGAACAAAATGACATGGCAGTTTTTGAAATTTATGAACCAGATACTCAGGTGGACATTTCCCTCCAACACGGTTAAACATTTCTGTCCAGTAATTTCAGTTATTCTGTGGAGAGAAAAAAGCATCAAATGAACTAATCCTGAACATTTCATGGAGGGATACAGAGGAAGCCCACATATTTACAGTGGGACATGCTTACATTTGTGGATCTGTGCAAAGTTGGCAGCGTGAAATTTGTCTCAAGACTCCACGTGACGACGTGACTGATCAGATGATTCGTGCACGTGCATTGCAGGTTTTCTAAGCAAGTGAGAGTGAAGTAACGTGTAGTTTTAGAAATATGTGTATGCACAAACAGCTTTTTGAAGGAGAACGTTATCCAATTCCTGAAGCTGAAATTAATAAATTAAGTTATAAATCAGTTATTATACATCTGTATTTATTCGGGTCTGGGCATACACATTTGTAAAATAGTTTGACGTGGTGTAAAATTGCTTTGTATTTGTGTGTGGGTAGAAGCACGCATTACACACTGCACACATTTATTAACTTTACGCTTGCAGAGCATGCCATATGCATTTGTTAAAGACACATTTCTCTCTGTAGTTTGATGACCTGCAGCGAAACAAAAAACGATATACAGCATAAGCAAACGTTAGCAGTGATGAGACCAAAGGACTTCAGTGTTTCATTTTGTAAGATGCTGATGTTGGTCAGTTTTAAAAACGGAGCACAGTGTGTCTGATTTGAGATGCATGTGGTTCTTTTCTCATGTAGCACTGTCACATGACATTTCTTAAACGATAAGCTGAACATTGATCCATATACAGTGATGATTGCAGGGGGTTTAAACTATGCTAAACTATCTTGTAATCACATAAGGAGCTCACTATAGTGTAAGAACTTTGGATTTTAAAGGTGTTTCCTTTTACAGCCACAAGCATTGGTATTGTATTTAACAGCACAGTCAGGAAAAGCACACGAATGTTTTAGTAGCTAAACATTTAGACCCATTTAGTACTAATAATAGTAAATCCATCAATAGGATAAAAAAATATTATAAAACATTATGGACATTTTTATTTTATTGAATGTTTTTTCTTACCTTCTCAAAGTCCTTTAAGGGGTTCTCCAAACTCAACTGCAAAGTGTTCCCCACCAGGGGAAGGCCTGGGGGGCCTGGTGGGAAGTTCTTCGGCCTCTTGGATTTGAGTTGAAGAATGAGAAATAAAAGGCAGAGGCATAGCAGTGCAATTGAAACAAACATGGTGAGACGATTTGGACTGCACTATGAAAAAGTGTTAGTTATTACTGATCTCTGGCTCTCTTCCACAGCATTGACTTGAAATGAGAGGAGTAGCTGGCAGACCCACATTTAAATACATAGCTCAGCCGGCCCTCTTCTACCTACACACCTTGAGATTTGTGTGAAAGGTGAAACACAGCGTGATAAAAACAGAGCACATTGCTCCACCACCTTTAGCGTAATGTGACAGGCTACTGTACAGCGGTATCAGATTTCCTTAGATATCACATAGTGTCAGGCATTTTTCTGTGTTTCATTTTCTTCCATTGTTAATAAAACACAATTCAATACGAAGGTCCTCATTTCTATGTGAAGAAGAAAGTGGAATTAAACTGGGTAAACTGACTAATCTACAAGAATTTGCTGTGACTTGTAAAGATCTGAGAGAAAAGAGTGAAGGAGTCAGAATTTCCAGGTAAAAACTGAGCTGAACATGCTCAAACAGCAGGAAACCCTCACATAAGATCATAAACTAAATAAACTTTAATATTAAGATACAAAGAGACAAAGCGTAAACAAGATTTAGATAAAAAGACCTGCTTCTGTATTTTATAAATGTGTAACATACGTGTGGTTCTTATGTAGCACTGGCAGCAATGATTGCACAGCTGTGATATGGAAAAGCCAAAATCATAAAATGAAAATGTATCCATGTACAACGATCACTCTAATGGCTGTAAAATATCAGTCGGCTGTTTTCAAACTCTTCTTTGAGAAAAAGAATGAACAAAAGAAAACACTCCATTTGTGTGAGTTGAAAGGCCTGTTGGATCATTGAACTGTACAGGTGCTGAACTCTATACAGACAGCACATTACGTAATCAGCTAAGTAGCAAAGGGCCAGCTGCTGCTGAGCAACCAACCTTGTTTTACTGCAAGGATTTTGTAAGGTAGATGAGTCAGAGCAATGGTAAAAGTTACTGTTGCTTTGCAACAAAATCTTCACCTAGCTGCTGTTGCTAATGCTGCTAGCATTATGGAAACATTAAGGCTAGCAGAGTTACTGAAGTCCATTACATCAAGACTAAAAGAATCTTGTTAATGTTTGCAAGTGCTGCACTGCAGGGAGGACTTTATCGTGAAAGCGTGGCTATAAAAGTCTAAGAATCCAAGAGATGCAGTTGGATCAAGTTGAGGATGTGCATTTCTTAAATAAGGGTTGTATAGGAATTTCTTTTACTTATGTATTAATCACATTATTTTATTGTATGATACCTTGGTGCCACTGGATTCTAACAAGTCTCACACTCATACATTAAGACAAATGGTGGGGGTGTAGTAAGGAAGTTGGGGGAAGCAGACAACTCCACAGGAAGTTGTGGTGAAAAAGGCCCGTCAGTGTCTCTACCACCTCAGACGCTTGAGAGACTTCCAACTGCCCTCCAAGGTGCTCAGGAACTTTTACTCGTTTATCTTATTCTCCCAGTTAAATTTACCCTTCATTCTAATTTGTGTTGTACAGTTATTTCATTTTTAACCTTAATTTATATTTTATTCCTTCCTAGTTAAATTTACCCTTTTTAATTTTTCATATTTATTTCCTATCTTATTCATAGCCTTTTCCTTTTTTGTTTTCTTTAGGTCACGAGCAGTTGTCCAAGCATTTCACTGCATATCGTACTGTGTATGACTGTGTACGTGACAAATACAATTTGAATTTGAATTTTTTTGTCTCTTTGAGGACTCTGGGAGGCAGCAAGGGAGTGCGAACCTTAAAGTGTGAAACAGCAGTGCACTGCCTTTGTTCCTGAAGAAGGTATTTAACTGAGAGCCATGCTAGGCTCAGGGAGACTTTGCTGACCGTCTGTCCCGCAGACATGCAGGCTCTCCACAAGCTTGGTTGTCTGTTCTTTGTGTGTTTGGATTAAAGAATGTTAGCTACCGCTCACCGCTCGTCTGCAGGCTTTATTTAAGGGAAAAGTTCCACAACAGGGTTTCAGTAGATTTAATGCAAGTTCAAATCTTCAATGTTTCACGTTTGAAGTTTGAAATAATCATATTTCAATACTTTTTATGATCCTGCAAGTGTCTGATATTGAGTTTAAAGAGATTCTTTGAGAAATTCTTCGAGGCCTTTAAAGATCATAATGATCATGGTCTGGTACTAATAACTGACCAAAGCTCAGTTATATTGTGGTAAATAGACCAAGATTAAAAACAACTTAGTGAAAAGCCAAATCAAATGTAACTAAGAAAATGACTGAGGTGAAAAGTTTGTTTGAAGTTTTATGTTGTTGGGCCAGAAACAATCTTTAATCTATTTATGGAGTCATGAGCTAACAAATAAAGAACAGCCTGAAAATAAAAGAAGCTGATTCAAACTGTGGAAAGTGTGAAATACAAGAAACAAATGTGAGTTTCATACGTTTATTTCATATTTCACCAATGCAGTAGAAATAAGAAATGGATAAAAGTTTCCCAGATAACTTCCGACCAGGACCAACTGCTAGTTAATGTCCATCTGCACACCGCCTCACTGCGGCGTTCTGAGTTGGACTTTCATGCGGTAAGGTTTGGGAGTCAGAGTGACCCCATAGACTGGAGTGAAGTCTGGTTCTCCTGCGTCCTCGGGCCAGATGAACTTGAACTTCCTCAGCAGAGTCACCATGATGAGGAAGAGCTCCATGCGAGCCAGACCCTCCCCGAGACACACCCGAGGACCTGAGACGTTGAAAAAAATCCCTCAGTATCATCTACGACAGAAGATTTAATCAACTATGTCGGTATGTGAATCGTGTCTTCATGTACCTGCAGAGAAAGGCATGAAGGCCTCTGGTTTAACAAACTCTCCTTTGTCATCGAGGAAGTTTTCAGGGTTGAATTCATGAGGGAATTTCCACTGTCCCTCCTCGCTGAGCACTGAGGTCAGATTCTCGATGATCATTGTTCCCTGAGGACGAAATCAACCTCAAAACCATTAAGGATGCTCGTCACTTTATTGCCTCTACCTATTTAACCAGTTGGCCCTTACCTTGGGAATGGAATAACCCATCAGCTCTGTGTCTTTAGTGGTGCAGTGGAAGACACTGAGAGGGACAGTGTTGGCAACTCTCTGTATCTCGTGAATCACAGCCTGGATGAAGAGAAGACATTTCTTTGACTTAGAGCAGAATACATGCATGCTGTCAAATTCAGCCACAAAAACAACGCATATATACTTTGAGCAATATTTTGATGAATAATCCAGTGGATCTGCAGTTCCACAGAGCAGCTGTTTGTTGACAGTCTGTGCTTTGGTTTGAGAGTCTCTGAGAAGAATCGACACAGCTACAAATAGAGTTACCGTTTCACTTTTACTCATTTATAAATTATTTCTAAACTTTACATGGCTTTGTGTCACCATCTAACAAACACGACACTCACAAACAAACACCTTAAATGTAAGTAAAAAAAATACCTGCATGTAGGGCATCTTGTGTCTGTCCTCAAAACTGGCCTGATCTTTCCCTTCCAGCACTCGGTCTATCTCCTCCTGACATTGTTCTGTTAGAACAGGACAACACAAACACTTTGCAGTACACCATAACCAGTGAAATAACTACGATTTTAGAAAAGTAACTTCGTAGGCATACAACATTTGATATACACTATATGGACAAGTATTTGACCACAATGCTTAATATTTGAATTCAGGTGTTTTCAGTGTCTTTGCCACAGATGTAACAAATTAAGCACGTAGCCATGCAATGTGCCTTTACGAACACCTGTGAAAGAATGAGTTGTTACACAGAGCACAGTGAATCAGAGTGTGGTACTCCAATCAGCTGAAGTCAGCCACAAAGTGACAGACCATATTAAGTTACAGTGGGTTTGCTGAATGCGGAGGCACACTGTGCATTAAACTTGCTAATGCTCTGCTGAATCAATGACAATGCAGAGCCGTCCTCCTCTGGCATTAAAAATATACATTGGCAGCTTCGTGACATGGGTTTCCATGGACGAGCAGCCCCTGTAGGTGTACTGTGTATGCAGTCCAGTATATTGGACCTAAACATCAACAAATCATTTGCAAAAATGGCTGTTTTACATTAAGGGCCTTAGTATACAGCACAGCAGTGTGCATGACTTTATGGTACAAGAGAACAAGAGCTGATAACAAAAAGCCAAGTCATATGTGCAGGTTTACCTTGTATGTGTGGGTAGTTCACAAGATAAAGAAAACCAGTAAGCAGGGTGTTGGATGTAGTGTCAGTCCCAGCAAAGTAAAGATCCAAGGTGAACCTAAGGAGCTGCGTTTCTGAAAATGAAGACCCATCGTTGCCTCTCTAAGAAAAAGTTATAAATGGAAAAGAAAGTGACAGACACGGTACGAGAACGGTCACAGCCACACGTATGTTCACCTTTCTGCATTAAAACTATGAATCTCTTTTTAAAGAGTTGTGTTAGAATGAATTCAAATTGATTAGTTTTTAATTCATTAAACTGCAGCCTGTATTTATATAAATTCTAATATATGACATTGTAAACTGTTCCTTTTACACACACCTTTTCCAGTTCATCCAAATAGCAGTCAATAAAGTCGCGTGCTTCTCCCGGGACTCTGGTCTTCTTGTGCTCCCTCACAAAATCAGCTACAAGATTTTCTAAAGCCTAAAAAATACAAGGGACTCTTCGTTTCTTACAATTTGCTTTCAACAAATAAAGTACATAGAGTATGTCCTTGTAGTTAGTGTTTTCGTTGTATTACCTCAGCACTGTTGAAGACCTTCCTGAAAGGCAGCGGCAGGTAACGAATTAAAGGAAGAGAGTCATACAGCTGTAAATAAAGAGAAGTCTTCAGTTTTCCTTTGAGCTTCAGTTGTACCTGATAAAAGATCCTCAGTATTTCCAACCACTAAAAAGGACAGTCAGCTTCTTCTGCAGCAAAGTCACTCATCATCCATTATAGACTTGCTTTGTGCACTGGTACACAGTCATGTTGGAACAGGAATGGGCCGTCCCCAAACTGTTCCCACAAAGTTAGGAACATGAAATTGAAAATTCAAATTAATGATTTTGCGTTTCTGGGACATTTTGTCTTTTGTTGGTGTTTTCTGCATCTTCATTCTGGATCTCAGTTCCTTTTGAAACTCTACAGACTCCCCAGAGGTTGTGACACATAAAGCAGCTATCATTGTTATAGACTAAGAAAGGTGCTTTTACTCACCATAGCCCATGGTCCATTGGTTATCCTGGTATTCTCAGTAAAGCATCGGACAATAAATTGTATTAACGCATGATCATACTCATAGCGTGTGGCAAAAAGGACTTGACAGATGATATTGGAGGCCGCATTGTGGAACATAACTCGAGGACTCATGGTTTTACCTGTGCAAGAAATAATGTAACAGCACAGAATTGTGAAATAATGCACAATAACGTGGCAGAAAAAAAAGCACTACCCAATTTAGCTATGGATGCACAGATGGACCTACCAACACTCTCTTCCAGGGTACTAATGATGTGTTTTATCTCCTTATGAATCCTGTCCTCCATTGAGTTCTTCCCCAGACCAAAGTTCCGCAAAGTGGTCAAAGCAAAGCGACGATGTTCCTTCCAACTAGAGCCGTAATCAGCCATAATGACCCCTACAACAAGTTTAGTAGCACAAAGAGGAGAGAACCTAAGAATAATTCATGTGGTTATCCTACAGGACAGAGCTGAACTTTGCCTCCTCTTAAGTAAACTGGCAACATTTTGTGATCTTTTTTCTCCTTTGGTGGAATCTTAATTTGAATGTGTGAATACAAATGCACGTCTTTTTTGTAGTCCTACCTAACATCGCATTGAATTCAATTCATTAAAAAAAAAAAATTATATAGCACCAAATCACAACAACAGTCGCCTCAAGGCGCTTTATATGAGCGAACAGTTGTTGGGATTTGGGGACATATCACATGACATATGTCTTATATTACATGTAATGTTTATTGTACCTTTCCTCTTGGTGATATCACTGACAAACAAGTCTTGGGGTCGTCCAGCAAAATCAGTAGCCTTTGTCACTATAGCTTCTTTGATTGCCTTCATCCCATTGATGATTACAGCCGGTTTGAGACCGATGTAGATGCTGTAGACATCTCCATAGGACTTCCTCAGCTGGCAGAGAAAATAACAAGTGTTTGCAATTATTTTATGACAAATTCAGATGGATATTTTCATCAAATCTTGATGTGGGTTCAATCATCCAGTTAAGGAAACCTCAAAATGTGATTCTGCTCATCTGGATGTAGTGTATCTGAGTCTTACTGGAAGCACTGAAAATACAGACAATTGTTGCTATGTGCAAATGTGCATGGAGATTTGTCTAACATCATACTTTGTAAGGCTGTAATACAGTCCTTAAGCGTGGTATTAGTCGGCTGTTAGTGGTGGTTGTGTCAACGTAAGGCAAGCTCAGATGGACAGACCACAACGGATGTGCTCTATGTTCTCTGTAAGTAGATGTTGAAGGTTTTTTCAGTAGGTGTCATAAGTAACTAGTACTTGTGTGTATGTGTTAGTCCCCATAGGGAAATTACTCCTCTTTTTTTTTT